GAGGTCATGGCTCTTGAACATAGAACTCATAGTCAAGAATGCACTCTTTGCCTTTCCGATGCGACATTTAATCTCTTGGATATTGTCCCACGACTCATTGGTTATAGTTCCCAAGTAGTTGTATTGTGAAACTCGTTCAATTCTCATTTGATTCACATACAGATTTGCTCCAGTTATGTTTTCCTTGCTGATGATCATTATCTTGGTTTTGCTGATGTTTATATCCAGTCCATATTTTCTACTTGTTTCCGTTATTTTGTTCATTAAATTTTGAAGCCCTTCTATGGTATTGGAAAACACTATTGTATCATCTGCATACCGCAGGTTATTGAGCTTGACTCCATTTATTGATATACCTTCATCAATATCTTTTAGAGCCTCTTCAAAAATGTGCTCCGAGTACAGATTAAATATCAGCAATGAAATTATGCACCACTGTCTCACACCGCTTAAGATTTTAACCTGATCTGTATATTCTCCATCTATTCGAAGCACCGCTGATTGATTCCAATACAGGTTAGCTATTATTTTTAAGTCTTTTCCGTCAATTCCTGTCCTCTTCAGCACTTCCATCATTTGTTCATGTCTGACTCTATCAAAAGCCTTCTTGTAGTCAATCAGGCATGTAAAAACATTACAGCTGACATCTTTACATTTCTGAAACAATATCTGAACGCTAAATAAAGCTTCCCTCGTACCAACGGTGTTCACAAATCCAAAGTGATTGGGCACAATTTGTTCCTCGCATTTCCGGTAATTTCTTTTGTGGATGACATTTAAAAACAGTTTCAGCTTGTATTGTTCTAAGGTCATGGAACAACTTCTCCAAGTATTCTTCCCATACTTTCTTTTTATCTTCCCTGGTTATGGCAAGATTGCCTTCATCATCTGTTATTTTTCCGCTGTTGCGTTTTTGGAACTTTCCAGCTATTTCCTTCACCTTTCGATGAACATTGAAGTCATCATATCGACTCTGATACTCCTCTATTTCTTGACATTGTTCTGTTTTTTTGTTTCTCTTTGGTGATGGTATGTATTCTCTTACATTCTTGGAGATTTTCTTTGTTTTTTTTCTCTGATCCATGAGTTCAATTATTTCATCGGTCATCCACGATTTCCGTTTCTCTGTACCTTTCTTCAGGTGTTGTTCTTTTATCTCTCTGACTGTTTCTTGTATGATGGTCAGACTTTCCCCTAGAGTTTCTGTATTTTTGCATTTTAGCATCTTTGTATTAAGGTTCTCACTCACCTTCAGTCGAACATTGGGATCTTTCAGTTTTCTAACATCATATTTCTTCATCGACTTACTTGTAACCTTCTTTATTCTGACTTTGAAATTACCTACAACTGGTACATGATCGGAATTTATGTCTGCCCCCGGGTATGTTTTGACAGATGTACAGCTGTTCCTATACCTCTTATTTACTAGCACGTAATCAATCTGATTTCTTACAATCCTTCCCACAGGGCCCTGTGGAGATTTCCAGGTGTACAGTTACAATGGGATTAAGAAAGAATAGTTGGTTTGGAAAAGGTTGTGATGAAGCTATTACAAACAGCATTACCATGAAAAAAGTAGAATTGCAAAGAATATAGGAAAATTGAAAGGGAACAGTGATTAGAAAATTTAATAGAAAGCATTAAAAATGCCATATACTGCGAGCGAATTAGCTGGTAAGTATAAGAGAAATTGAAAGATTGAATCTTAAAAGAGAATGAACCAAAAAAATTATGAACGAAGTATGGATAGAAATGGCGATTTAAGAAACAACTACATTAAAGATATCTATGCATCTCTACATAGATCACAATGCATCTAGTGATTATGGATTCGAATATCCCATAGGGACGGTACAAACCAAATCGCGAGACCTTTCAGGCCGTCAAAATACACAAATGTGTAAACGATGTGAAGAGTCGTAGGATATTAAACAGTACATTTCATCAAGAACCCTAATAATACTATTAAAACTTAACGTTTACAATATACTTCTTGTAATTCTCAATAAAAGCATACTTTGTATTGTTTTGTACATAATTTTCTTCCGGAGTCTCTACGGGGTATACTTTCCACGTCTCCAAATCAGACCAGTTTTCTCAACTTCACAAACTTAACTATATTAACTCAAGTAATTTAGTAATAGTAACTACGTAACCTTTCTGCATTACTAACAAAAGTTTAAAGTATCAAACGATTTCTGGCCAGTGTCCGACTTTTTAAATATAAAGTTTATCTTCAATAAAGAAAATAACATTAAAACAAATGAGTGAATTAATAAATAAAAAATACTCACCCGCTGGAGGTAACCTAGTTCTTGGTATAACCAAATCGGGAAGTTTATATTTTTGGGAATCCTCTAACCATATTGCCTGTTCCTTTATCGCTTCTAAATCGCTATTAAAAATATTATTTGGTTATTTGATATACACAATTAAGAGGGTAATATGGTACCCATAAAAATGCTGTCACAACTCACAAGATTGACTAGAAACAAAAACAGATAATAAATAAGTTCCTAATATTCACGAAAACTGGATTTTGGTATAATTAAACGATAAAAAAACGGCACAATATGGTCAAAAATTGTAACCAAACGATAAACAGTGTATGAGGCACGCTAAATGAACGAGAACGCGTTGCTTAGAATTGAAAGATATGTGGGCGTGGTTTTGTGACTCATTCAACCAGAAATATAGGATAAACAATACAATGTAAAAAAGGGCGCCATTTTGTCTTTTCTTAGAGTGACAAAGAAAACTCAAAATCAAAATACTTATAGAAACAAACAACAGCAAACAATCACACCTACCTTGTGTGTTCGTTAAGCAAATCTGTTAGCATTTATTTAGTGACCAAGTAACCCAAGAGAACAGAAGATTGTCAGAGAAACCAAACAACATTGATCAATATATGCAAAAAATTACGAGTACATACCCCATTAAAAAACACTAACACTGCACTGAGATTAAGTACATAAATTTTGTGTGAGTGTATCGTTGGAAATATGACTGCGGATTACTAGATCTACATGAGATGTTAAAAAATATATATAAATGACAACAAGTGTTTTTCTCTCTGCATAGATCACCTTCATTGAAATATTCAGCACAAAAATTTAATCTGCCTTTGCAGAATGCATAAAAAAGATAAAAATACTGACTTGTGGCTTATTTAATACACAAATTGCAATTAAAGATGGAATATTCTGCACTGAATTAATCTTTACTTTTGATTTATCTTTCATTGAATGGACTAGACATTCAACGTCTATGCAAGTTTATAATCGATATGCAAATGACCGGACCACATTTCTTAATTTTTGTAAGTCAGTATTATTAAAAGCTTTCCCAATTCTATTTTTATATCATTTGACGTTGTTGGAGGCTTCTGGTACACAAGGTTTTTTATATACCCCCACATAAAAAAATCAGTTTGCCAATCAGATCAAGCCAAACACTTGATCTTCCTCTGCCTATCCATCTCGCAGGAAATTATTATTTAGATGATTGTAAGTAAGAGCAGTGTGATGAACTGAAACACAGTCGTGTGAAAAGCACAATATTTGTCGAATATTAAGTGAAATGAACATTTTGTAGTAGAATTGGCAAATTATTATTCAGAAAATCCAGATATATGGTATCATTCACACAGCCGTCAAAAACATATGTGCCAATCGCATAGTCCCCGAAAATAGCACCCCAATCATTTATCGACAACCTGGTTTGACTATGACTGTTAATATAGTAGGAATTGCTTGATAAATAGTAATGAACATTATGCCGATTCACTGTTCCATTATTGTGAAATATAGCCTCACATTCATAAAGCACACAATCTAAAAAAAATGCAAACCATTGACAAAAAGCTAATCTGCGAAGTTTGACTAATGTCATGTTGACGTGATTTTATTTTATTTATATGAAACTGACCCAGAGCGAACCAAAAGATTCATTAATTTTTAAAAAGCTCTTATGTTTGCCTTCCTTTGTTGAGGATATCGCCGTTGGTATATTTTGTATGCAAGTAGGCAATTTCTCGAACTTTCACCCAGATCATATTGTTAATTCTTCTATAAAAAATTTATTTTTAGAATTAAAGACTAGTCATATAAATCGATTAAAAAGGTAATAATTTCTACTATTATATTGTTTATCTATGCGTAATAATAAGAAAACTGTCATTTTTCAAAGCCTACTGTTTTACCGTTGTTAACTGATACATTTGTTATTTCTCTATGACTGATACAAGTGGCGTTTTACTTATTAATAATTGTTTGTGACAATCGACAGTTAAAATCTTTTACTAAAAACTTCATGGCTTAGAATACTGTTGATATAACATTAATCTAAAACGGTTATATTTATTGCTTAATAAAAATAAAATAGCATCATAAATGCAATATTTTATTAAAATTTTTATTAATATGTATCAAAATAAAATATAGGATTGTACATTTAAAAATATGTGAAAATCGTAATTTTCTTTTGTAGTTCACCTTGTATAACAATATTTGTCAATGACTAATGTTAAATTTAATTTAAAAACTAGAACGTATTGTTTACCTTATTGTGTAAAATGAATACATACTTATTTATTTATTTCTTATTTACGTACAGTGTGTTTATTTCATATCGATTTTCAAATAAAAATAGTCATACTCGTTAAATTCCCTATACTGTCAAACGTTAAATTTTAACAACAGAGATTATGAGAGGAATCTAAATATGACAAAATATACAGGGTGTTCTATTTAAAACTGCATGTTTCCTTTACGACGTAGTTATTAATCACTCTGTAGAATTCGGCATATTAGCCAAGCGTGGAGAATATCATTGCCTCTATTTTTTTTAAATATTCTATACCAAAATGGAATTAACGACCAATGTCGGACAAAAAACTTACCCTGTATATTCTCAACTTGTTTTTAGATACAAAATTGAAAGCTTTAATACATAATTGATAATTCTTAAGTTGTAAAAGTATTTTTTAAGGTTACATTCTAAACTTTTCTACTATACCTGTAATTACACTCCTTTTTGAGAGTTCCTACAAGTTTATCGGAAATTTGGCTCATTAGTTTATTATTTCGTTCTTGTTTTCGTATCGTTTCCAGGTAGTCTTGTCTCTCGCATTCGAATTCGCTTTGAATATCGCTAATTTCCTTCTCCATTATTTTCACTTTGTGCCTATACTTCCTAAGAACGTCTGTTTTTAGATGGAGCTCCTGACTTATGTCCCTGTATTGATTGTGTAGCAGTTCTCTATCTTCGTTCATTTCAATTTTGGCCAGTAAATGAGCAATTACACTGAAAATATACAAATTAATTTTAAGTAGCTAGGTAAAAATAAATATTCGTGAACGATATCAGTTAAACTTAACATATGACTTACATCGTAGAACAGCACACAAAATTTTTAATTGATGCAATAATTTAACCTCTAACTTATCCATATACAACAGAGGACAGCATTATATTTGTCCCACATGGATACTTGTTTTACCCACGTGCTAGAGTCTATATCAGCTTGAGTTGTGTTTTAGTGAATATATATCGCCAAACAAACTGGGGCGTCCAGTCCAAATATCCTAAATCCTCTACATTATTTTTTAAACAAATCGTATTCTATACTAGAATTCATGATTTGTATTGAGGGAGGGCATAGTGGAAAGTTCGTTTGTAGGCAAAGTGTAAACTTTTCGCCTTGCCCTTATACATATGTAACAATTATTTCAATTCAAAATCTGTTGTTTTAGATTCAATTGGTTAATAAATATAAATGGAAGACCGCTTAGGGTCAATGGACTGGGAACTCTACAATATTCCTTTGGGTACGCTCTATCGTCACAAAAAGAAAGGATCAGCGAAAAAAATTGGGCAGCTTCACATCAGTATTTAGTCCAGAAATGTAACGCACAATTGTGAAATATGCCAATCACATGGAATTATCTTCAAAAACTTGCGTTCGAGCTCGCAGTGAAAAATGATGTACCACATCCATTTAAGAACAAATATACAGGAAGAGAGTGAATTGATGGGTTTATGAATCGAAATCCTGATTTATCGTTCAGATTACCAGAACCGACAAGTATAGGGAGGTGTGGAGCCTTCAATGGACGAAAAGCTTTTTAGGAAATTTGTCGGAATTGTATAAAAAATTCAATTTCTTGCAATAACCAAGCATATATAACATGGACGAGTCTGGTGTGAAAACATCATCTTATAAGCCACTAAAGCTCATTTCAGTAAAAGAAAAAAACAGGTGGAAGTAATAAGTTCTGCTGAGAGAGGTGAACTGACCACAATAATTTTTGCACCAATGGCCCCTGAAGTTTTATTCCGCCAGTCTTTATTTTCAGAATGACGAAAAAAGTAGGAGAGAGATTATTGGACTCTGGACCAGTTGTAGCGCCGACGCTTGATGCAGTGATTCTTGTTGGATCAATGCAGACATCTTTTTTGAATTGCTGAATTTATATATTAATATAGTTCGACCATCCAAACAACACCGTGTGCTTTCCATTTGAATAACCACAGTTCGCATTTAAATTTGAACGCCATTATTCTCGCCAGAGTAAACGGCGTCATCATGTTATCTGTTCAATCACATAACACGCATAAATTTCAATCACTCGATGTGATGGTGTTCAGATCGTTTAAGGGAACGTTTGAAATTAAAATTGCAGTGCACACTGTTTAGAAGAATTTTCCAGCTCGGCTAATAATCCAATATGACATACCCAGTTTGTTGAAAATTGTCATTGAAGAGAGTTTCACCTCTCAAAATATTATCTCTAATACTTGGCAGTTTGCTTCTAAACTGTAGTATTTGTCCAAGTAGCCAAACTGAAGTACAGTTGCATCCTACTAAAAACTCAGTTACATCCATAGACGGTACCGAAGAAAGTTCCACACATCTACAATCATGGAAAAAAATTGCCACAGGCATCTTGCAGCAAAAACTTTTTTACAGTGTCTCCTAAGAAACTCTTACGTTTTTCTAGAGAATAAAATTCTCATAAAAGATCTACTAAAGGTTAACTCTGGACCAGAAGCCAAAAATCAGAAGAAATCACAAGTTCACCTTTCGAAACGGAACTAGAAAACAAAGGAAATAAGAAAACGACTATTAAGAAAATACCAGAGAGAAATTTGACGAAGAACACCAACAAAGTGAGAATAAATATTGCAAACAAAAATTCATCATACCGAAACCTTTAGAAGATCTCCAATCTGAGGACGATGTTTTGTGTCTCATAAGCACCAAACCATACAGCAACTCCAAGATTCCATATTCCAATTCCATAAGGAAGTGTTGATTTAGTGCAATATTTGTCTGAAGTAGGCTTATCAATTCTGCACATTCTTTGATGGAAGAGTATTTATTTACGATTTTTGTCAAGCAGATATATGCTTGAATTTGAAAAAATAATTTGAAATAATGAAATAATTTGAATAAATATTTCTTCTATTTGAAAAAAGGAAACAGAACTATTCTTTTGTCTTATTATTAAATATACATTGTTAATTAGATAATAAGGATTTTGTGCATCTTAAACTTTATTCTAATAACGAATACTATAATTGAAGCAAACCTTTCTTCTTTGTCCTCACTTCCTTTATTAACCATTCGATTTTTGTAAGCCCTAATACACATGTTGTTGTGCCTACCTTAATATGAATCCACAATTCTATAACATAACATGAGCACCTTCAAATGGACGTCTGACGTACAGGCCAGCTTTGTGTAATCTATTCCTTAAAGTTTGGTTCATATACAGTAATGTTGCAGATATTTCCTAAGACCCTACATAGTCCACGTGTAGTTATAATCATATTTCGATGAGCTAATTCTATCGCATAGCGATCCTGTCGAGAAGTAGTTGCGCGTTGACGACCTCCATGTCTTTCTGCGACATTACCAAATTGTTCATCTATCTATACAGTCTTTGCTTTCCAATTTTGGACATAGGCCTCCTCTTCCTACTTCCACGTCACTCTATTGTAGGCAGTTTGTATCCACTTCGGGCCTGCGTGTTTCTTCAAGTCATTTGACTTGAACAATATCTCATTTGTGGCCTTCCTCTTTTTCGTTTGTAACTATATGGTCTAGAGTGTATAATCATCTTATTCCATCTGTCGTCTTTTTGTCTTATGGTAAGTCCAGCTAACTTCCATTTAAGTTTTGCTATCTGCGTTGATATATTACGATACATACGTTGATACATACATATGAAATTGTTCATATCGACACCATAATCGTGAAATTACGCTCCGAGACATGTCAAAATGATGTGCAAGATCAGCTTGTGAAAGAGCAGCTCAATCATATTCACAGCACTGAACATTTGACCAGCGTTTGGTAAATTAAACTATATATTTAAATCGGACCTATCCATATGCCTCAACTGGAAAATCTTTGATCAATGTATGTTACTTGTACTCCCTTATGAAGCGGAAACATTAACATTCAAAAAAAGTAAAATGAATAATTCGCGTGACTCAGAGGGCTATGGAGCGCCAGATGTTGGGTGTCTCTCTGAGAATCCGAATCCCAAACGAAGAAATACATCGCAGAACAAAAACAACAGACACCATCGAACCAATCGCGTCGCTAAGATGGAATGGGAAGGATACGTCGCCAAATTATCAGACAATCGACGGACAAAACGTATTGTTGAGTGGAGACCAAGACAAAAAGCACTACGGAGCAGAGGACGCCCACCAACTAGATATACTGACGACCTGAAGCGTGTTAGTAATAACTAGATGCAAGACACACAAGACAGAGAGAGATAGAGAAGCTGGAGGGGACCTACGTCCAGTAGTGGACGCATACAGGTTGATGATGATGAACATTTGAACATGTGTTAAATTCCGACGCACCATTACTATCGTTTCGTTTAATAATATTGCTTTAGTAAAATGTTAAAGTAAATACACTATTTTACTAAATTATTTTTCACTTAGTTTTTATTTAATTAGCTTAAATTCATATTTAATAATCACACACATATAACATTGACATAATTGCTGTATATTCTGTACCAGATAGTACCCTAATACGGGTTATTATATTTTCAGCATTTAGTTTACCATGTTCCGTTGACCTGAAGATGCATAGCAAATTATAGTATGCGGAACCGGTCGTTGGTGGTCGAATAAATTGATTGTAAGTCTATTCTTAGTTCCTTTTACCCATTTAAACATACTATCTTTAAAATTTAAAGTATTTTTGGTTTACAATTTGAAGCAATTAATCGTACGAATTTGAGGACAGTCACTTTTGCATTAATAAAACTGAGATCGAAAGATTAATTTTCATGGCATACCTTGATGTGTACAGAACAAGTTTTCAAAGTGTTTAAGCTTTTAAAAAAAACTGGAATTATAGCGGTGTTCCTTAGACATTTTTGATGTGTGTATGATAACGTGCGTTTAAAAACTTTTCCTAAATTTTGAAAGAAAAAAAATATGTTTTTCAGATATGATTTTTTTTTAAGAAAAGGAGGGTTTTTCAAATTTTCCGAATTTTTCTTGATGTGATAATTTTAACACCGGGATCATGTTCAGCGGTTTTACATCGAAAACGTATTTTTGAATATTTTTTTGAACATCTAGAGCACGATATGCAAAAAAGTGATAAAAATACAGGAAAAAGTTTTTTTGTTGGAAAAAAATTGAATTACCCATATAGACCGCGATTTTTGACCTAGAAGGTTGAAATTTGGCAAATCATTATATTTTATGTACAGAATACATCTGTAAAATTTAAGCCAAATCGTGAGGGGTCGCTTGACCAACTTTTCACAGCTGATATTTAATTACCCTAAAGTTTATTGACTACATATTTCTGTATTTATGTACCTCATGTGTTAAATTTTTATGTAGATTTTTCAGATATTTTCAAAAGGAAAACAAAGGAAAGCAAAGTAAAAAAAGAAAAAGAGAACAGTAGAAACTAAAAAAGGAAGTTTTATCGTGTTTCTTACTTTGCTCTTTCTTCGGCTGCCTGTTTCTTCCGTTTTCGTCGCTCCGACAATTCGCAGTCGTTTGCTTTTTCTCCTCCAATCATCGACGCCTTCAGAGCCTCTATCCTCTTCAATATCTCATCCTCCGACGTTTCTTCTTTCTTTTTATTCACACTTATCTCCGTATTTAACTTTTTTATATTTTCGTCGTATTCCTCCTTTATCTTTTGTATCTGCTTGATGATATTTTCTTTCTCGATCTTCTCGTTTTCATGTAAGCACTTCAGTTTTTTCATTTCCTGTTGGTACTGCGCGAGTAATTTGTCCCGTTTTGAATCTAAGTCTGGATCGGTGACGGTGGAAGGCACGTTTCGGTTTATTTCTTCTTCAGGTGTCATCGTTAAGTCTTCTACTTCAATGTCGTTATTTATTATCGTTGGTTTGTTTTCAAGTAGAGCTTTTAGTCTTGATATTTCTTCCTGGTATTGACGGAGTATTGTATCTTTTGGATCCTGAAAATTAAAAAAATATATCTATTAATAACATTTTTGTGCAATAATTTTTATGACTTTCTATGTGAATTAACTTAACAAGAGTATCGTCATGCAGATTGCAGAAGATTGGACATATCGATAAAGTACATATCTGAGTGTAGGCGTCTCTGTATATGTCCCATCCGTTCTAAGCGAAGAAATTTTATGTATATGACAATACTTTCCCCCTTTAATTCTTCTTCAATTTCGGCATTTGTTTTCATTCTTCTTTCTGACTCTCTTGTTATATTGGGGCCCAGTATCGTTCTCATTATTTTTCTTTCAAATTTCAGTAAGGTATCTTCTTTCTCCTTATCAATCGTTATTGTCTCCATTCCATATGTAACAACAGGTCTTATTAAGGACTTATAAAGGTTCATATTTTTTCTCTTACTTAAAGTCATGCTTCTCAGCATGACTTTAAGTAATGGCTATTTATTCCATATGTTTTCTTGCCTTTCAAAATTCTTTTTTCAGTTCTCTCTTTTTCGGTTTTCCATTTTTAGTCCCATTGTTAGTCCCAAGTGGCCCCAGTTTTAAATTCATGGATCTGTGTTATTAGATATTTCTGAGTTGTTCTGTCATCCTTTCCTATCGTCATGTATTTTGTTTTGTGCTGGTTTATCTGGTTTATCAAATGATGGAAGTGTTGAAGAGGACAGGGATTGACGGAAAAGACTTAAAATTAATAGCTAACCGGTATTGGAATCAATCAGCGGTGCTTCGAATAGATGGAGAATATACAGATCAGGTCAAAATCTTAAGGGGGTGAGACAGGGATGCATAATTTCACCACTGATATTCAATCTGTACTCGGAGCACATTTGTGAAGAGGCTCTAAAAGATATTGATGAAGGCATCTCAATACATGGAGTCAAGCTCAATAACCTACGGTATGCAGATGATACCATAGTGTTTTCCAATACTATAGAAGTGCTGCAAAACTTGAATGAACACAATATTGAAAAACAAGTAAAAAATATGGACTGGATATAAACATCAGCAAATCCAAGCTAATGATCATGAGTAAGGAAAACATAACTGGAACAAATTTGTATGTATACCTAATGAGAATTGAACGTATCTCACAATACAACTACTTGGGAACTATAATAAATGAGTCGTGGGACAACACCCAAGATATTAAATGTCGCATCAGAAAGGAAAAAAGTGCATTCTTGACTATGAGCTCTGTGTTCAAGAGCCATGACCTCACCTTAAAAACAAAAATAAGGCTCCTTAAATTCCACAACGAATCGAAGTTCCTGTAAATGTTACATGTACTCAGTGCTTCTGTACGGGGTAGAAACGTGGACACTGAAGGGGGAAATTATATTAAAACTTCAGGCTTTTGAGCTATGGTTATACAGAAGGATTCAGATGATACCATGGACAGACAAAGTCACCAATGAAGAAGTACTGCGGAGGATGAACACAACCGCGGATTTGGTCAACATCCGAAGGGCCGTAAGCTGCAGTACTTGGGATATATAATGAGAAATCAAGGCAGATACGAGCTACTTCAATGTATTTTGCAAGGTAAAATTGAAGGAAAAAGGGCCCCAAGACGAAGAAGAATATCCTGGCTTGCTAATCTGAGATCATGGTATAGAAAGACCTCAACACAACAATTTCGTATAGAAATCAACAAAGCTAAGAAGGAGCTGGTTTATCTCCAGCCCTATTCTCTTTGCTTCCTTATCTAACGTTCGGAATGGACAGGCACCCTAAGAAGAAGCTGATTTATCTCTAACCCTATTCTCTTTGCTTCCCTATCTAACTTTTAAATTGTAAAAAATCCTTGTCTTTTCTGTGATGACTAGATCGGCTGCATATGCTATTTGTGAAATTGATCTGTAATGTTTTTTCTCCTTCTGTTAATCGTTAGTTGTTATTTATTAATATTGACTTGTTTTCCTTCTTAATATTGCTTTTACTATTAGATTAAACAGTATCGGGGAGATAGGGTCACCTTGTTTCACGGCTTTGTTGACTTTAATCTTCTTAGAAGTTGATCCGTTGAAACTTATTTTTGCTGTGATGTTCTTTAGACTCACTGTTAGAATGTGTCCTAATTTTTCTGGGATACCAAGATGCCTATCTCTTCCATCATTTTCGTCTGATTAATTGTATCAAAAGCGCTTTTGAAATGAATTAATATTACGTGCATTTATCTGTTGTATTCTGTCGATTTTTGAAATATTTGCTCCACTGTATATATGAAATTAATTGGCGATCTGCCCTCAGTGATATTCTCCTAATATTCGTTCTGTGCATGATTTAAGTTTCATGTTTAGTATGTTTGCTAGAACTTAACATGTGGTATTTAATAAGGTTATTGCTCTGTCTCGTACTACTACTTATTTCCTTTTTTTATAGATGGGCACTATAACACCTCCGGTTCAATCATCTCTATTGGTCTTACTTCTTCATTGAAGTATGTTAAATAGCATTTTTTCGTAAAATTCTTCCTATATTCTGCTAATCTGTTTATCTTTAAATATGGTTCTCCTTTTTGGGTTTTTAGTTCTCTTGTTTTAGCTGGGCTTATTGTTTGTTGGTGTGACTTTTTTGTAAAATTATTTTATTTTATAACTTTTTTTTTATTTTTTTCAATATCCTCTAGCTTTTCATTTAACCAGTCATTTTTGTTTTTTTTTATTTGTTGCGTTGTCTTTGTTTGTGGCTATTTTGTGTTCTTCCCTGTTTTTTTCTGACGGGTTGTTGATGCATGTCATTCCGACGGAGTTTTTTACTGTTGTCTCTGTTTCACAGTCTTGATCATATCAGTCTTCATTTCTTTTTGTTGTCTTTTCTTTTCTATTACTTCATTTGTTGTTTCATTTATTTTGCTTTTTAATTCTTGACATCTTTCGTTTATGTTTGTGGGTATACTCGTAAGGTTGGATATATTTTCATTTACCTGTTTAAATTTTGTCTTATTTCAGCCTCTTTGGTTCCATTTATTAAAGTTTGTTTTAGCTTGATATCTTTTTCCATCTGAATGCGCTCATTTTTATTATTACCAGAAAGTGGTCCATGTCCATGTTCGCCCATCACCTGTCCAGTGTTTTTTGTATTAACTCATTGGTTCATAGGACGTTATCGATTTGATTTTCACTACCACATGGGTGTCTCCAGATTACTTCATGTTTTCTTGGATACTCAAATTTTGTCGATGGGAAAGTCATATTTAATATTCTTGTGTGCTTGCGTAGGTGACAGATTATGTGGCCATTGTTATTTGTTTTTGCGTGTAGAGTTCCTTCTCCGTTTCCGACCTGTCAGTTTGATGTATGCTGGCTTTACTTGTTTACCAGCGAATCTAAAATTTGTTGCTTCTTGTCTAATTTTCATCTAGATTTCCCTATGTTCTTTTTCTTCTTCAAGTGCCATCTCCGCGGCAATCATCATAGCCATTCGGACTTTTGAGACGACTGCTCTGGAAAGTTTATTTGATGTACATCCGTACCCCTCTCTCAGGTTGCGCAGCCATGACATTTTACGCCTCCCTATACTTCTCTTTTCTTGGATCTTTCCCTGCATAATCAGTTGAGCAAGGTGTATTTCTCACCACGTATAATATGTCCAAAATATTCCAATTTTCTTGTTTTAACTGTACAGATTTAAAATTTCTATTTCTTTATTCATCCTTCTCAACCTCTTGGTTTGTGACGTGTTCTGTCCACGTTTTGTCTCTGTTACTCTTATTCAATTCACCGTCGATATATATATATATATATATATATATATATATATATATATATATATATATATATATATATATATATATAAATATATATATGTATATGTATATTTGTTTTTGAGGGTTTTTATGTTCCTATTTTCCTAATTTTTTAATTTCGTTTTCCACTTTCAGTTTATGGTGGAAAAATTAGGTCACTCCATCTTTTAGTATATTTTTATCTTTCGAATCTAGATCAAGGCCAGATATTACCTAATTGTTCTTAATTCTCTAGTTATCTAATTTTGCTATTCTGTTGCCATATTTCTACATTTCTTCTGTTTTCTTTTTCCATTTTATCCACCCTCTCCTCAATTTTGTCCATCTTCTGTTTCAGTTGCTTATTTTTATTTTCCTTTTTAAATTTTCGTTTTTTCTCTTAGTTCTTTAAGCTTATGTCTATACTGCTTCTGTTCATCGTTTATTTCTTGGACATCTGTAGTTAGTTTTGCTACATTCTCAGTCAGTTTTTCTAACATTTTAAGTGCGAAATCTATTTTATTTTCCTTTAAATTTTTTCCACTTTCACGTCTCCGCATTTTTTTGGTTATTATTCGTATCATATCCGTTATCGCCACTATCCATTGTTAGTCTATACGCGTTCTGGTTCCTGTAGTTTCTACAGCCCCACGAAAGAGTTAAAAGACCAGTTTTTCCGTTGGATATATATTCGCTACCAGGACTACAATTAACACTCTCTTTGTACTTCGTTTTTCGAATTAAATATGAATGGATATAAATTGTAAGCCGGTAACGTCGCAAATTATGTTGACGTACTTTGCCTGCTTCTATCGCAGTTATCAGCTTGTCGTAATTACTTTTATCGCTGAGGAATATTTACCTGGCTTTTCATAGTTTACAAATTATGGATTTATCACTCACTAAATTCAGATAAAAAGGAAATTTTCGTCATTAAATTATACTTACTACGTAAAAGACAGAAATTATAACGAGTTCATATTCATTTACACCAACGTTATGACCCGATCTTATCTGTTCGATAATACAGTGTGCTAACGCAGCCAGAAGACAGATTCATTCTTTTAAATGCACTAGTGGTTCTACTTTTAGGGTTTACAAATAGAGAATGAAAAAACAATATCTGATAAATATATTCTATAGCTATTCGAAAAAAATGAAATATTGTAACTGGCTTACCTCGTTTACTTTCGGTTTGTTGTGAATATTTTTAGCCCTATTTGCATATCTCAATGTTGACAATGTTTCTATGTAATCTCTACTCGACGGACTTACACATGCTATCATCAACGTCCTCGTGTTTCCTCCCAAAGAATCCTAAAAACATAAAAACACCAAATTAGAACTATACATCTAACATTTTAAAGATTTTAATAATAATAACCTTTTAACGTAAGTCACTTACTTGTAATAACCTTGTAAGTTTAGAGTCTCGATAAGGAATATGTTTCGCTTTGCCATCCACCAAGGCAGATATGACGTTTCCAAGAGCACTTAGGGATAAGTTAATTTTTGTGGCTTCTTTCAGTCTTTCTCCAGTGGCTCCTGTTTTAGTTTGTCTTTCAGATCCAGCTAAATCTACTAAATTTAGTTTACCTACAATAGAGATACAACACGTAGTATGGATAATAAGAAATAAGAATGTCACAATTTAAATGACGTAAGAACTCGTGACATGCGTCTAGTAAAAAGAAAGATTTTTTTATTGTGTCCTTTATTACCGATCAAAATGAACCTAACTTTATAAGTGGATATCTTGGCTTAAGATAAAGTTGTCACTTACTCTAGTAATGTGATGAGTTAATTCTTCAATGAAAGTTCCACCTTAGGTCAGTTGGCCAATGTCTTTTATCTTGTTGTAGCCAAAAAATCAGAACGAAATCTACTGGAAGTGTCAATGCTTTGCTTCTGTTCCTTTATCTCTTTTACTTGTTTCTCTCTATAATAACGCTAGAGCCCAAATCAAGTCTTGGCATCCATTCTAACTACATGACCAGCCCATCGAAGTCTTTAAAGTTTAACGGATTCTGAGATCGGTGCCTCTTTGAACAGTTGGTAGAGTTCAGGTTGTACCTGGATCTCCATGCTCCGTTTTCTTTAATAGGTCCAAATATCTTCCTAATTACTTTTCTTTCAAAGACTTTTAGCTTTCGTTTTGTGTTTTCTGTCATTACCCATGTCTCACATCCATATTATACTATTAGTATGATAATAGTTTTGTAGACCCTGAATTTCGATTTCCAGTGTATGTTTTTGGAGCAGTATATATGAGCGAGCGTAAATTAAGTTTTGTTTCCCTTTACTATTCTTCGTTGAATTTCTGGTTCTTCTATTCCATCCGTGTTTAATGCAACTCTGGTTTTTACCAAAATAGGAACATTAGATGCAAAGTATGATTCTTATTTTTTTATCTTACCTCAGAAGAGCTTGTCGTGAGAATTTTGTATAAAACCGTTTCCTTTCAATAACTTTCACCGAGAAGCTTTTGTGCTCTATGATGGTAGAATCTATCATTATTCTTCTTCTGACTACACAGGCCAAATCAACAAAAGTCACAGGTTCCAAATTACATCTAACATCATGAAGTTGATGATAGGGCTTCCAAGTCCGTTTAATTATCTATCTATCTATCTAATTAGCCTTCTTCGGTCCATCTTTGGACATAGGCCTCCCCAATCCTTTTCCATTCTTCTCTGCCTGTCGCTACAGTCATCCATCTAGAGCCCACGTGTTTCTTGATATCATCTGCCCATCTCATTTGGGGCCTTCCTCTGCTTCGTTTATATGCCCACGGTCTCCAACTTATAAGAATTTTGTTCCATCGGTCTTCTTTTTGTCTTATATTGTGTCCGGCTAATCTCCATTTCAATTTTGCAACTTCTTGTCTAACATCCCTCACTTTTGTTTTCTCTCTTATCCACTCGTTTCTCTTCTTATCCATTAGTCTTATGTGCAACATTTGTCTTTCCATTGGTCTTTGGGTTTTTATGATTTTGTCCATGTTTGCTTTTGTAAATGTCCACGTTTGGGAACCATAAGTAAGAACAGGGAGTACGCATTGATTATATATTTTGGTCTTAAGATGCTGTGGATATCTTTTGTTTTTAAGAATGTAGCTTAGTTTGCCAAATGCCGCCCATGCTAGTCTAACTCGTCTCTTGATCTCTGCTGCTTGGTTCTCTTTGTTAAGTTTTATAGTTTGACCAAGATATATATATATATATATATATATATATATATATATATATATATAATATAATCCTTAACTTGTTCTATTTCATCTTGTCCGATTCTCATTGTGATGTCTTCATCTGTATTTGTTATAGTTTTGGTCTTGCTGTAATTCATATTAAGGCCCAATCTTTTCAGCTTCTACGTCCAGTTCTTTCATCATTTCAAATAATTCTTCTTTTTTATCGGTTATCAATACGATGTCATCAGCGTACCTTAGATGGTTCAAGCGTTGTCCACAAATTTTTATATCTTTTTTTTCCCATTCTAATCTTTTAAAAGTATCTTCAAGAGCCTGATTGAAAAGTTTCGGTGATATTGTATCACCCTGTCTCACGCCTCTACTTATTTGTAATGATTTTGTTCCTTCATATACTTTAATTGTTGTTTTGGCTTCCTTATATATATATTGGTTATTAGTTCCGTATATCTGTGGTCAATTCGGCTGTTAATCAAAGAACTTTTCACTGCTCAATGTTCGAAACTGTCGAAAGCCTTTTCGAAATCTATGAACGCCATATATAGAGGAATGTGGTATTCATTTGCTCGTTCTATAAGTATTTTCATACTTAGTAAATGGTCACTTGTGCTGAATCCCTTTCTAAAACCAGCTTGTTCTTTCGACTGGTATCCATCGAATTTTGTCGTCAATCTATTGGTTAAAATTTTTGTTAGGAGTTTATACATTACATTGAGGAGTGTTATAGGACGGTAGTTTTTTATATCTGCTTTATCCCCTTTCTTGTGTAGTATAATGGTTACTGATTCCTTCCAGTTGTTTGGGATTCTTTTTTCTTTTAATATCCTGTTAAAAAGGGAATGTAGAGTATTAATTACCACTTTTCCACCATATTTCAGCCTCTCTGCAGTTATTGAATCTTTTCCAGACGATTTGTTGTTTTTCATTTCTTTCAATGCCTTCTTTATTTCTGATTTGCTTATTTCGGGCTGCAGCTCTGAGTTGACATTTTTTATTTTGACCTTAAGTTGGTTTTTAATTTCTTCTGGTGGTTCCTTTTTTGTTTTATATAATTCTGAGTAGAAATGGTGAATTATCTTTATGATTTCATCTTTAACGTTTGTTTCTATTCCATTTACATCTTTTATTTTGTTTATTTCAAACTTACCTAATTTCGGCCTTAAGCATTTCATATTTTTGTTGTTTTGTATTACTTCTTCTATTTTTATTTCTTGTTATTTTGTCTTATTTTCTTTTATCATTCTGCTTATTGTTTTATTATTTTTTCATATTTTATAGATTTCCTTTTGCCTTCTTCATTCAGCTTCCTTCTTTTATCCATAAGCTTCTTTGTTTCTGTTGATATACAGTTGTTCTTTTTTAGATCCTTCTTTGCTATTTCTTTTCCTGATGTAATCATTGTTGCTGTAAGTATGTTGTCTATTTCGTCTATATCTTTATCGTCACTGTCTAATCTTTGGGTAAGTTGTTCTTTTAATAGGTCTTTGTATATCTCTTTATATTGACCTAGTTTGTTTCTATCTACTAGATTCCAGTTTCTACTTATTTTTCTTTTCATCTCATAGTTACCGTCAATACTAATTTTTGCTCTGACCATCCTGTGATCGCTACCTGTTGTGAATCTGTTAAGAACTGTTACATCTGTAATGATATATCGTTCCGTGGACAGTATGAAGTCGATCTCATTTTTTGTGGATCCATTAGGGCTGATCCATGTCCACTTTCGTTGGGGCTTCTTTTTGTAAAAGGAGTTCATTGCGTATAGATGCTTTTCTTCTAGGTAGTTCATCAAAGTATCACCTCTATCATTTCTCTGACCATACCCGAAATCTCCTATTTTAGTTTCTTCTTTGTTTAGTTTTTTACCCAGTTTGGCATTGAAATCTCCAATTATTAGTGTAAGATGATTTTTATGTTCTTCCATAGCCTTTGATATATCTTCATAAAATAGTTCGATATTTTCTTCATCATAAGCTGTCGTGGGGGCATATACCTGGATAATTTTAATTGATGTTCTTCTTATTTTAAGTATGACATAGGCGACACGATCTGATATATCTTTGATAATTTGGACGTGCTTACTTATTTAATTATACCCCGTACTTATGTAGTATTTCATTGGCAGTGTATTTAGAGCCCGAAATTGTCTAGTCTAAGTTCTTTATTCTGTTTTTAATGACTAATGATCTAAGCAGCTATAGAGATCCTACTGGACCTTCTTCCGTTGCAAACCATAAGGAGGAGATGAGAATAACATAATTAAATTATACATTAATACAATCGACTGGGTATTATTTTTTCATCATCGGTCGAGAAGAACGGACAGAGAGCACTGAATTTAAACATTTGTCCTTCGAGCCGGTTAATTAAAATTGAATAAAAAGGAACAATTGGACCAATGATAACCTCTCTATCTAATCTAAAACTTACCTTTTCTAATATTTTCGTTATTATTTAAATTACTAATTTGTTCTACGCTGACTGAAAAAATACTATGAGACCTTGAGCTATTTTGGTTCATAAGAGTGGCACCGATCATCCTGTTTTTTGAGCCAACATTTAACAGATTTTCGCATTCGGCAGCGTTATGCACTGGCACTACAGATAAACCTGAAAATACAAAGGAGAAAGTACGGATACGAACCAAAATCATTTTTATTGCTTAGAAAAGAGCAAGTAATGTGTGAATTTGAGCTTACCTGGAACTGTAACGCCCTCATTTGGAGTTTCCTTTAACGATAAAGAGCTAACAGGTTTGTCGCTTGGCAGTAATAAGTCTCTTAAAAAATATGTGTTTATAAATATCCTTATTATAATATAAATGTGATCTACTTAATTTAATAGGAATTAACCACAATTTGAATTGAAAATCGTTTATTTTGATTTTTCCATTTTCACTGCGAAAATTCTTTTCAAAAATATTTCTAAATAGAAATTGAACCGTCAATTTAAAAGTAAATTCAATTAAAATTGTGAATAATTTGCATTACATATACTATAGTAAAATTCATTAAGCGGTGCAGGAAATATAAACATTAAATCGTGTCCGAACCGGTATGAACCGCCGATAACATCGGCAGACGAAATAAAGATGGACATTCCGGTTAGTTTTTAAATATTTTTGAAGAACTGTTACTTGCATTTATGCATAAAATATTCATTAATTTTATAAATCGGAGTATTTTTTCACTTACTTTGTATTCAGTGATAACATTAATTTATTTACTATGCAATAAACACGAATATTTAAGAAAAGAAAAAAAAAATAATAAAGTGTCATAATTATACTGTTACTTATCGGAACGAGTAAACTCATTTGGAACATCTTTAACAATTATCTGTTAAATTTATCGTTGTTTATATGCCCTGAACCGCTTAATGGAATAAGGTATAGATAATATAGAAATGCCACAAAAAATTTTTCAGAGTTATAATAGAAATATATTGTCAAAAAATTAAAATAAATTACACATATACTAGCCACAGAGCAGGCGTAGCCAGTTACAAAAGAAACTGGAAAACTTTAATTGAACACATTTCTTTAATAAAAATAACATAATAAGTTTTTTATGTCTTACCTTATTTGTTCATTGTATATCTCCAAATAACTTACTAATGCTAGATATTTTACGCCGCTAGTTACAGATATTGCTTCGAAAATATGTTCAAATGCTCTAGAGATCACTCCCTTTTGGGGACTGTTTTCCGCCTTTATTCCTTCCATCGTAAATGATTTCCCACAGCCGGTTTGGCCATATACAAATATGGTGGCATTATATCCTTCTAACACACTCTGCAAAATAGATGAGATACATGTTCTATAGAGTAGGATACATTTTAAATGGTTGAACGATTCAATACTCAAAATACACAAAATTAGTTAAAAAGCAAGAATAAAAATTAATTTGCTTACCTCAACGAGTGGATAACAGATATCGTTATATATAACTTCGGTAGTAGACTCTTG